ATAACTCTTATTTTCCTGAGACACCGTGTACATCAAAATGTCAAATAAAAAAAAAGTAACTTAAAATTGTGGTATTGAGAAAACACAATTTGAAAATTTCAAAAAACATTGGATCTTATTACGATAAATGTGAATTTTTTTCACGATTTTAATACATTATTTGATTTTTCGGGACTTAATCTTGTAGAAAACATTTTAATAATCCATTTATATACGAGAATATTTAGTAGCAGTATATCTCCTTGTGACAGAATTCGTCCAGGGCAATAACTTTACCTATTTCTGCCGCCAAGCAGTAATGTCGGCATTACTGTGTTCCGGTTTTGAAGGGCAAAGGTGCGTGCTTGTGAAATTACATGGGACTCAGGGAGACATAAGTTGACAAGATATTTATATAAGTATACGTATACGTGGCTCCTTGAATGGGTAATCTATTACAAAGTATATTACGCAACAAAGTCATTCATACAAAGTTGACATTAGCATCTCTTAGAAATGTAGGTTTCTCAATTACAGCTCTTTAAAAATATTAATGTCTAGGTATTCCTAACCTTCCAGTTTCAGTGCCCCTCATAACTTTGCCATTTAAAGCTCTGAGTAATACTGCAACTGTTATGGACAGGCGAGTAGCTTACCATCAGGCGCACGACTTGTGCGTCACGTCACCTGACAATATAAAAAAATATATATTTACATTGGTTTTATTAAGTTTTTATGTTTCCCACTGGGCTACCAGCACTCTTAGGCTGCTGACAGATTGACTACATGTTTGCAGTTAATGCGTCAAGTCGAGTTGATAACGACTTTACGCATTGTCTGCATGTAGTTAAGACTTCAACTTCAAGCGTCGAGGTGAACAATAAATAGTCCGAGAATCAAAAGTAGTAATTGACATTCTTACGAGGTTATATTATCATTATTTCGTGTCTGAATCAAACCTTTTTTTTTGTAACGGCAAATGGTAATGATTATTTGAAGGTTTGATCAACATAATGATAAAACCAAACACGATTGGTAAAACTTCTATCTAATGATTTATTTTTCACAGATGGCCTTTCTGAAACAGATTCAAGTAACTTTAATATTAAAGAATAATAAACTAAATTGCCGAATATAGAAATAATTGTTACTTGTTAGTCAACTTTTATGTAATTCGGTCCGTGCTTCCCTCGACTTTAAAGTTTTACACTGAACTCCTGAACTAGACGTGCGGTGATAACTGCCTCCAGATAATGTCGGCTGCATGCAGTCGTTTCGTCTGCATGGAGTTTTATTATACGGACTTTGTGTATGCAGTTCGTTTAGTAGCAGCCTTATACTAGTGAATTATTATGAAAATAGCACATCTATTAATACGTTGAAACCTTATCCCGTATATAGGCTTAATTACACAATCAGAATAGCTTGGCTCACAATCGCAACGCTTCACCGGTTCCCGTTCTATTCTCACTACAATTGGAACAATATTGAACAGTTGTAAAATTTGACGTAGTTCGACTGGAATAGGACTTACTTTCATTGTTCTTAAGAGTACTCTCAAAGTTTATTCTTACGTAACCGATCATTATGATAAAATACTCGCCTACAGTGAAAAATGTGCTAGAAATAAACAAGATGTCGCTTATCAAACCAAAAAATTTTGGAATTGGAGTAACACGATTTGAACATTTAAAAAATACTGAATGGATCTTATTGCTAATAATATGATTATTATACGTAATATTTAGTCATACATTTAGAAACGAGAATATATATTTATTGGTTACATTTACAGATTTGAATTATGCTAGTATTTGTTTTCATATATAATTTGTTTCCTTGTAACATCTTCTGGTAACACCCTTCGGCCAAAACTCCTTCATGAAGGCAGATAGATAATCGGTCGGCTCTCTCACCTCAAACGAATTATAATTTACGTTACGTGGGGAATCGACCCGCTTGCCCTCAGGATGTGTTTGGCTCTCTGTCTGATGTACTCCACTCCACGAGCGCAGTCTCGGGAATACATTGACACAAAGCAAATTATGCTATGCACAATTTCGTTACGAAAATTTGCTTCCATTCCGTTCCGCGGCAATGAAAATTGGGAAAAGATCCGTGCTCATCATTGGAGAGTTTTTTTTTTATGATAACTAAGTGACGGTACGAACAAGTCGTGCGCCTGATGGTAACCGACACGCCTTTTCATAACTGTTGCATTACCACTCAAGAGCTTTAAATCACAAATATCTGAGGGGCTCTGCCACTGCGCCCGACATCCTGAGACATAAGTTGACAAGTCCCATGTGCCTGTCATTTCACCAGCACCATTACCCTTCTAAACCGGGACACAATAATGCACACACTACTGCTTGGCGGCAGAAATAGGTATAGTAGCAGTACTTCCCTGGACGAACTCTTTCCCGTGGAGGTCTACTGCTACAGAAGGAGTATAATCAATGATTATAGAAATATGCGTACTACGCGTCCTAGTTGCCCCCTCTGAATATAGTTAATTACCTAATCCGCATTGTACGCGTTACGCGTCACTCTTGTCACGCACAGCGTTAACCCATTTCTCACATCAATTTATTTGATGTGACCTTTCAGAACAGAATATAACAGTGCTGTCATCAACTCAACATAATTACGAAAATAATTTATTTATTTACAACGTTTAACATAGGTACAGTACAGATGAGATCATGTTGTAACCTTAGTCGTACAATAATTATTAAGACTGGTTAACCAGCTCACTGTAAAAAGATTTGTAATAAAGAAATAAGATATCGAGTTCTTAGGTTATCGCGAATGTTACGCATAGGAAATGAAACTATTTTTCCAGATTTAAATCGCGTATATTTGTTTTTTCAAACAAACCAACGCCAACGTTTCGGGACCTTTACAGGTCCCATTATTAATTAATAATAGATTTAACTTAATAAAAATTCATTGAGTAAAATATTTTGTAAAACGTAGCGTAAATTGGAATGCTTCTTTGTAAAATTAAAAATAAGGTATTTAATTAATAACTTTTGTAACTATGGTGAAAAAATAGGGTGGTTTGCATTAATATTAGACATAACTGGTTGATGACTGTATCACCTCAGCCAACCGTGACTATGGAACCTGTAAAGGGTCCGAAACGTCGGTTTGTTTGAAAAAACAAATATACGCGATTTAAATCCGGAAAATAGTTTCATTTCCTAAGAAATAAGATGTCCTTCACTCGGTGCAAAAGCGGGATAAGTTCCCAGGTTTGACGAAGATGCACGAAAACTTCATTTTCTGTCACAGAGTCCTTAATGGAAGCATGTTCTAAAATATAATCATGAAGTATTATTTAATATTCGAGTGTAGTATCCTAAAATATTATTTAATATGTGTCGCTATTGTAGTAGAGGTCCTTGTGAAAGAGTTCGTCCAGGGAAGTACTGCCTTACCTATTTCTGCCGGCAATTAATGTAAGCATTATGGTGTTGGTGAAATTACAGACACGTGGGACTTGTCAACTTATGTCTCAAGGTGACGGGCGCAGTGGCAGTGCCCCTCATAGAGCCCCTGAGTGGTACTGCAACTGTTATGGACAGGGGCGTGTCACTTACCGCCGCGGTAGTTAGGCAAGTGGACGACTTGTTCGCTCCGTCACTCGGTCTGTAAAAAAAAACTCGAATACTTAAGTAATAAAAATTGCCACGAAACTTAAGTAAACTAACCTGAAAATTACCACTCGAGTCCAACATCATCGCAAAGAATAAAATCTTAACTCATTTGCAACTGATGAGGACGTAGTAGAAGGTCCAGCACCAATGCGTTCTTCACAATCCGTTTATGCGTTCAAATGTCAACTCAAAGAGCACATTCTAAGTCTACAAAACACGTCTGGAACAATTTTATTTGTGTAATGCGCCTCAAAATACAAAATTAAAAAGAAAAAGCAGAGTGAATCTTTGTTGGGACATAAGCTGAAATTTGTGTTATGTTTCCTATTAATTATATTGTTTCATGTTTAAGTTTTTATTTAACTCGCGTCCACGTTTTGTGTTTATTTTACTCATATATTTTTATTTCTTTTAATCGGCATTTTCGAAAAGGGTCCACTGAAAACCAGCGCTGTGCCCTGCCGCAGTATTAGCTGAGTTGGGTCCTTTTCAGTGCAATAATACACTTTTAATACTAATTATTAATATTGTACCCCACGTGTATTGTGCTGAATAAATTTCTTTTCTTTCTTTCTTTCACCTCGTTAGGATAATTTCTGGAAATTTTCCCTTATGATCTTCTGTTTAGCATTATGTTCTTAATATCGAGCCTGCACTCGAGATGATTTTATTAATACGGGCCTTGATATCTAAGTGCATGCGACCGCGGGCGCCTTGTTTGACACTTCCTCTCGTTTCTACTCGGAATTGGGGCATTAGGGCGACGATGTTGGTTGCTTGGCACGTACACTTGATTGTAAACGTGATTTAATTCGACTTTATTGGCCACCTAAATTGCTAATGAATAAATAAACTTCGACCTTTTATCCTTAACTTTAGAGGGTTTCATTTAATAATTAGTATTTATTTTAAAAAAAACGGCCTCAAAAGAAAACAAAAGACCTGGTTCATTTCCTTGTTTGCCACCCTTAGAGGTGGAAAGTTCTTTTCAAATTTAAAAGGGACCAATACTAAGGTACCCTCTTCCCAACAAAAAAAACAGAATCATTAAAATCGGTTAACAAATGCTGTAAATACGAATAATCGCGTAACACACATACAAAACAAAATACAATCAAAATGAGAACGTCCTCCTTTTTTGAAGTCGGTTAAAAATACCCTAAATCCCATGTTCTCATTGACTCAACGGTGCACAGATAAAACAAATTGTACGGACAGAACTTTCATATAATGTTGCCGAAATTAGATCCGACAAAAAAATACTTTAATTTCTAGGATGATCTATATCATAAGATAAGATCGCTTTAAACTAACACATCGCCACAAATAAAAATCTTACCAAATTTTTTTCTTTCTCAGCGGCACCATTCTTCGACATCGAACCGGAATTCCAGAACAAAGCTGAAGGAGAAACAGCAGTAATACGCTGCAAGGCCCAAGGCACACCTGTACCTCAAATCTCCTGGATCCACAACGGCAAGCCCATTGAACAGGCGGAACCCAACCCTAGAAGACAAGTGACTGCCGACGCCATTATCATCTCCGACTTGACTAAGAAGGACACGGGCAATTATGGCTGCAACGCTACGAACTCAGTCGGCTACGTTTACAAGGATATTTATATCAATGTTCAATGTGAGTACCTACATTTTTAATACATATTGATGGGTTTCTAGAATAGCGGCCTATCTAAAAGTCTTCTGGAGATAATTCACCAAACCAAACAAAACCTAAGATGTGGCTGCCGCGCAAAATTAACGTATCGTAGAGTCATGTGACAATTTGAACAAATGAAAAGCTCGGCGTATTATTTTTTCTGAACAAATCTCAGTAATGATAAGAAGATTGACTGAACTACGCGGGCGGCGCAGCACTATTGACGTCTCGAATCGATACTCCGTATCCCGCTCTATTTTTTCACTTTGACAGATAACGTTTTCGGTAACTAGAAGTTTGCTATCTTGTTCATAACTAAAATTTAATTAAATAAATCTACTTAACAGTAATAAATAAAAAAAGAACTATTTTAGATTGTGCCTCTATTCTTGATAATATAGCACCTTATATAATAAAGTGACTTAATTCTAAAATAACCAAAAAATCTCGATTGAAGTCTTTATTTCATAGGTAAGAAAATTACACTTGAAATTGCTACATTGATTAAACACTACATTAAATCACTACACATAGGTATCGTTGTTCTTGGAACTTTCAGGCAAAGACAGTACGTAGATATCATGGCTTCTAGTAGGACTATAGTCTTTGGTACTCGCCACTGAGCTAAAAAAATCTTAAAGAACTGTACACAGAACTATAATGAGTATTATACGTATTGTATACAGAACTATAATAATAATAATAATAATAAACATTTATTTCAGATAATTGCATCCATATTATTGTTAGTAACATTGGGTACTTACAACTATGTTAATTAATAATAATAATGATAATAATAATAATAATAACAAAATTTAACTATAATAAAATTAAAATGAAACTAAGACTAATACTTACATACAATTAAACTAACTTACATACAATAAAACTATGAAGAGTTTAAAAAAAGAACGTCGCATTTTTGCTAATTTTAATAATTATCAATTATGACGCTTCTCACACGCTATTATTCCTCCTGATTGGTTAAATTGGCCTAAAAGCCTTGCAACCAGCCATAAATCTTTATAAAAAAATTATTGGTTAAATTACATGCAGTACTTGGCCAGTTCTATTCTATCTCTTTGGTTTTTTGTTTTGTAGGGTTTGTTTGGTTTCGTCTAAATATATGAAGAGGCTGTATGGTGGAACCTTTGCCTGGAACCCACCCTAATAAATGGGTTAAAATTTATTTGAAAAAGAATGCGTTTATTGTCATGGATTGTTAATTATATAATTTTTTTTTGTAATGATTCCACTATAGTATGAATCATAATTATATGTCCAAAATATAAACAAAGAAACGTCATTGTCAAAGTGTGAATGCCGTGTGCTAAACCTTTTTTTTTAACGGGATTGGAAAAGGAGAAGGTTCTAATTTTCTATAACACATTTATGTCATTTACTGTAATTATGATCTATTATACAAAATATTAACAATAAACGATAACTGTAACGACATATGTTGTCGTCACTCTCTTAAAAAACGCACCACGAAGACAAGAAAACATTCGAGTTGAAGAAACGAAGCTATCAAGCATGATACCTATGAATGATACAACAAATGTTTTTAATCCCGATTGTGTTACACATTGACTTACAATTATATGGACGTCGGGTCCGCGCTAAAAAGTGTCCGCACTTGTAAGGCGCTAAAATCGTATACAGAGCGCGACACTCCGCTTTAGTCTTCATTTGTTCTACGGACAGCGCGATACTGCGATGACATAACAATTTAAATTTCGAATAGGTTGACTTGGGACATTTTTTTCGTGGTTTTTGTATTAGACCCGTCGTCCATTTATTTGTAAGTCAATGGTGTTACAAGAGTCATAAAATTATTTCCAACCTTAAAAACAAGTGAAAATATTTATTGCAAAATGTGAATTGCACTAAGTTTTATCAGATAACATCTTGCAAAGAATTCAAAACGTTTATTATCGTCATAACTAGGAGAAAAAAATATTGTTTTGCTCGGTTATATATAATATAGGGTTAATAATAAAGGGTATTTACATTTTGGACGGCTAATTGGACGTAGTTATGTGACGGTGTGACCTCCTTATACCGTCATCCCACCTTTTTGTATCGCCTCTCTCCATTCGTATCGTATCGTTTTTTCTTCTTCTACTCATATTTAAATTTAAAATTGTTCCATTTTACCTCGCATTCTGATTTTGTTTCTTTCCATCGTCTCTCTCTGCGCGACCGCGGTAGCAAACATTTCATTATTTATCTTTTTGAATCGTTTACTAGCTATATTTATACAGTTTACATTTTAAAGATTATATTTGTTAAAACCGAATAAATAAACCGATTAAATATCTATAAAACTGGACTTTTAACGTTTGAATTGCTAAATTTACTAAATAAGATAAGATGTTGGAGGCTGCGAGGCTGCGGATGCTATTACTGCTATCCAGGCTACACACCTTTTCAATCTCCCAGAACGCCCTCAGCACCAGCAGCTCCTCCACAGTTAACAAAAAGGATCCAATCCACGTCCACTCTCGAGATATGGCAGTTTGAAGTTTAAAAGTGTTTGTCACTCTTGTTTTATTTTCAAAACTTATAATGTCATGTAACTCCAGATATATTTATTTATGTTTATATGTTGGATTTTTTTTGCTGATCTAAGAGGTTAGACTTTGGGAACCGTTTGATACAAGTAACTCATTTATGATAATTTTGTGGATTGGTTCCTTTTTGCTTAACTACTTACGTCCAATTATGATTCATAATATACGAATAATATATATAATATTATTTATTATTATTATTAATATATATAATATTATAGTTCGTTACAACTATTAATACAAAATTCGAATCGAAGGAATTTTTCTTAGTATTCGATCTTTGTATTAATAATTATTACAATTTTTATTTCGAGAATCACAGACAGGTACGACTTGATAGAGTTAAACGTACGTAAGACCATAAAAAATTAAGTACGGAATTAAAGCTTGCATCGTTTTTCGTATCAAATAGACTTTTGGCACCAACATAATGGCGTACATAGCCAATGCCACGTATGTTTTTTTTATATAATTTAAATCAGTTCGGTAAAAATTACTTTTCTGATTTGGTCACTTTATTATTGAGGGTGCGATATGATGGTTACTAATATTAACTTTAAAAGTTAATAAAACAAAATGCTGCCACCGTTAGTTGAAAGGGCACTTGTGACAAAAATTCAAAACCGAGAAAATCATGTTTAAAGAAATTAAAATAAAAAAATATCTAAGTACTTTTCTCTTGTGGTAACTTCATACTTTATCCATCTAAGAAAAAATAAAAATAGTGACAGATCGGCCTTTTTATACTGATCCCGACAGACCGATACACGGTTTAAATCACTATTTATTCTGATTACAATGTCTGTATACATTCATTTCTCTTAATAAATCAACTACATTGCTTAAGGAAGTACGTCGAAAGGAGGACAATAGATACTCGTAAATAACCTTTTTTAATACTCCCATGAATGTTCGTCTATGATAGTTTTCTGCCAAGAAATAAATAACTTTAAAATGGTATGCTTATTGAAATTTATTCAATACTGTTCGTATAACATCGTCATCGGAGACTAAGGAGACTTGACACTTGAGACTTTTCAAAGGGTTGTAAACCTTCTTTCCCCATAAAACTTGTTGAATAGCTGATCCCACTGGAACCGATAAAATTTACTCAGCGAAACACTTCATATTGGTAAAAGTCAAGAAATAAAAAGAAGAAGACAGAGGTTTTTCCTTCACCGTTAACGAGAAACATGGTTACGAAACTATCACAAATGTGACTTACGTAACTTAGATATTACAGTCATAGGTAAAATGCCTCCACACGGGCTTTAATCGCAGCCCACTCAATTGTGGAGCAACCGTTTGCCCACAGAGCTACTGCCTTTTTTTAAAATACATTTAAAGACAGACGTATATTGCTGTCCACATGTCGACGTTATCATTCATTAATTTTCATGTTATAGTTTAGTACTGATAAATGACAAAGTTTAAAATCTATTTCACGAAACACTTAATATATCAATAATACGTCGTGATGAAATACTTTCATAGAATTCTCATAGACGGCGCTATGGCTAAAAAGTCGTTGGAAAACCAAATACAAAGACCCGACAACTAGCACATAGAAAAATTCGTGAGGTCCGCTGGTACGTTCCGTGGCTTAGTTGGCATAGCATCTGGCACGGTTTGCTAGAAGACGTCGGTTCGTATCCGGCTGGATCGAAGGAATTTTTGTAAGTGTTCGATCTTTGTATTAATAATTATGTCATTAATACATTTTCATTAATTACTCCCATAAAAGTGGAAGTTTTTATAGCTTACCCTATGACTGATAGAACGTGCTACTTTGTAATTTAAAATTAATTAGTGCAAACCACCATTGTTAACCTAGTTTAATATACGGGCGTCCTCCGGCGTTTTACGACTTGCGACTATATAGCAACGATGCGGACGTTGGCAATTCACGCTTCGCCGTTTATGTCATAACTGACTTCTGAACTAACAATAAAATTCGACCATGAATTTATATTTCCACTGTTAGGCACACGTAGGTTTCTGGGAAATGGGGAGACGCTTCGGCCCCGGGAGGTGAGCGTGCCTATAGCTCCGCCACCATAAAGGAGATTTGGTAGCGGATTATAGAGTCAACTGCTTAGCGGTGGCAACTGGAATTCAGCGTGCAAACAGCTCCGGTACTTATCTGAACAATAGGAAGAGCGCTATACGTGTACCTGTGACGGTTCATCTAAGACAGTAGTCTTTTGAGAACCGGATGAATTCTGTGCAAACGGGCTCATCTGGGGTCAGGACCTGAACTTATAAGGTCCCTATGCTTGCACAGATTATAATGCGCTTCCCTTATAACCAACAGGTCGATAGGGAAAGCTACTATAAACAAAACTTATGAAGAAAGATACGGGATTGCCAGTCACGCGTCCCCTTTAAGCAGAGGGTTTA